ATTCTCAAATATCCTTGATATCATTCAGGTTATTCATTGTAGAGTTGTTGTTGGCTATAACTTAATTGTTGATGAGTTACTGTTTACTAAAGTTAATGTTCAATGACACATTGAGTCTAAGTTCTTTCACCAAAAAGCTGGGTAAGGCTAGCAACAGGGGTGTGGCTTAACTAATTTTAATCCAACGCAGTCCAATCCAAAGGCGGACAAGATCAACCCATGCATGGTTGCTATCTCCATCCTATTAGAAGAGGTATATCAGGTAAGTACCAATGCCCTTTTACTCACAGTGGCAATTCACCCTACAGTGCCAAACCCTTACACTTTGAGTTCACCTTCGTTTTTCATGGTTAACTATATGGCACTTGAAGGATGCCTTCTTCTCTATTCCCCTTCAAGCAGATAGCCAGAAGTGGTCTGCTTTTCTGTGGTCTGACAATGAACAGGTACAAAAGCTCAGCTATATTGGACTGTTTTACACTAAGTATCTGAAAATAGCCCAACCATTTTTGGTGAAGCCCCTGGTTCTAATCTATTCAGATGGAACACCCCCCTTCCAATCGGGAAGAAATAGCATTGTGTTGCAGGTCATGGTTGTCTCAAAGGTTATCTCAAAGACCAAGAAAGTCAGTTGCCTTTTGAAAAGCCCATGTGTTGCAATATGTGAATAATTTATATTTAGGGGCTTTCTAAGATAGAATGAGACAGAATGTCTCAAAATGAGACAGGTGACTGTGAATAAACTAAATCCAACTTCTTTAATGCCAGTAGAAAATTCACCTGGATGGTTAAATCATGATTGCATACAAGTTCTTGATATGATTTACTTCATCAAACCAGATTTGAAAGACAAGCTTTTACATAATGAGAATAGTTTATTGATGGAAGCAGCTGCATCTTGGAAAGCCAGTGTAAAATTTTGGGATAGGAAGCATTGCCTTTGAATATACCAGCTCAAAAGGCAGAACTTGTTGCATTAAATGTGCATAGCAATTGGCAAGCATATTTTTTCTTAACAAAAAATAAGGCTTTGGTGTTGTATATGGAGCTTTATGGCAGGTAAAAGGTTTAATTATAGCAAAAGAAAATCGGATTAAATATGGAGAAGAAATATTGCAAATTTTAGATGCCATCTGGAAGCTAAGAGTGATTTACTAGTAGGATAAAGACAAATGGGTCTCTTTGGACTTGAGGGAAGCATTCTGGAAGGAGGATCTCCAAAATCAAATTTGAGACAAACCAGTGTTTGCTCAGTAGGCTTTTCACATATCAATACAGTGCCCGTTGCTGCAGACCTGAAAGTCAAAGTAGGAGATTATCAATAGACTAAGACAGCACTTGCCTCACAACTAAACTCTGTCATTCCTTAGAACTAACCCATACTTCTTTCAGTTTCTACATTGTATAAAAAACAGAGGGAAATGATTCCTCATCTGGTCACATAAGTTTTGGGATTGTTTCAGCACTGCTAAGTGGCTGTTGTCCTTTGGGTCACAACCAGCTCTGCCCTGATTTTCTCATTTCTCTCTTCCACCTTCCCTACAAGTGAAGAGAAAGGACTGTCTCTGTCCAGAAAGTGCTCCAAGGGAGAAGCACAAGGTTCTCAGAAGACCAGGCACTTTGTTCTTAGAAGAAAGAAACAGCCCTGGACATTCACCTCATTTGTTGTGGCTGCTGTTTGAAAGAAAAACAAAAGAATAAGAAAACCCAAAGAAGGCTAGAGAGATACTTTTTCTTCTGTGTACATTCATTGTAGCTTGGAAAACCTAAACCAACTTTCAGCAAAATCCATTATGACACTTATAGTGATCAACCCTTGGAATCTGAGCACATAGATTAGAGGTAATCTTTTACTAACCTTTCTATCTCCACATTTTGTTCCAGGTTCAACCATTCCATCATCTGGCCTATCTGCAAAATAGCGGGCTACGCAAAATGTGGTGTTTACTGTTGAGCAGTATAACCTGCCACACTTTATATCCCTGAAAAGGAAACAGTGAATTAATTGGACCCATATCATGAAGGGCTTTAAAAGTAATGACCAACTGCTGGAATTGGGCCCAAAAGCAAACTGGCAACCTGTGCAGCTTGTGTAACAATGGTGTCATATATGCCATCTGCCAGGGGTCTCCAGCATTGTCAG